GCTGAGTCTCTTGGGTTTTCTATGTACAGGATCATGTCATCTGCAAATAGAGATAGCTTTCCTTACTCTTTGCCAATTTGGATGCCTTTTATTTCTCTTTCTTACTTGATTGCTCTGGTTAGGACTTCCAATACAATGTTAAATAGAAGTGGTGATAGAGGGCAACCTTGTCTGATTCCTGTTCATAAGGGGAATACTTTGAGTCTTTCTCCATTAACAATAATGTTGGCTGTTGCCTTTGTATATATGTATGCCCTTTATCATGTTGAGGAATTTCCCTTCTATCACTATTTTGCTGAGTATCCAGAAGTAAGGTAAAATAAAGATCAGAGCAGAAGTAAATGAAACAGAAAACAAAACAAAACAAAAAAGCAATAAAGAAAATCAATAAAACAAGAAGCTGGTTCTTTGAAAATATTAACAAAATGGACAAACCATTGGCAAATCTAACAAAAAAAAAAAAAAAGGAAAGAGAAGATGCAAATAACAAGAATAATAAATGAAAAGGGTGATGTCACAACAGAACCAATTGAAATAAAAAAGATATTGACAGAATATTATGAAGAACTGTACTCCAACAAATTTGAGAACCTAGAAGAGATGGACAAGTTTCTAGAAACACAAGACCTACCTACACTATCCAAGTCAGAGATAGAATACTTGAACAGACCCATAACAAAGGAAGAAACTGAACGGGTCATAAAAAAACTTCACACAAGAAAAAGTCCTGGCCCTGATGGCTTCACTGTAGAATTGTACTGAACATTCAGGGAAGAGTTGAAACCTATACTACTCAAGTTATTCCAGAACTGATACCAAATCAGGGAAAGACACCACTAAATAGGAGAACTACAGACTAATATCCCTCATGAATATAGACATAAAAATCTTTAAGCAAATCCTAGCCAACAGAATCCAACAATATATCAAAAAAATAATGCATCATGACCAAGTGGGATTCATACCTGATAAGCAAGGATGGTTCAGCATCAGAAAAACAATCAATGTAATCCACCACATAAACAAAACAAAAGAACCATATGATCATATTAATCAATGCAGAAAAGGCATTTGATAAAATCCAACACCCATTTCTGTTCAAAACTAACAACATTATTTTTAACCACTTCACCTACTCTATTTCCCCATATATCTGTACAGTTGGTTCTGGAAACCCACAGATTACACTTTCCATTTACCAGATGAATGCAATAGACTGTAATCATTGGATCCACACCCTGTCTCACTCAGCAAGTTACGTACCCTAAGAGCCTCATTTTCTTAATCTGAAATATGGTGACAGGAACACCCACCTTCCAGGGCTGCTGTACAGCTTCAATAACAAGGCAAGAACAATGCAAGTAAAACACTTCCCTCATTGTGTGGGCACCATCATTCATGATTTAAATAGCTCTTAAATGAAGTCACATTGATGTGCAGTCCCATAACTGGTAAGTTCAAAATCAGATGTGATTCATACTCATTGAAATGCTTAAAATTGTGACTAATGATGACTATGCTCCATGCTTCTCATCCAGATGGTATAAGCCACTCCTTGGACTCCACTGTTGTCACTCTCCTATTTATCCTTGACTACAGCGATGAGTTTGCTTGTTTGGTTAGATGTTTACTCAGGAGTACATAGATCCTTCTGTCTGTCCATGTGTGTTTGATGAATTTGGAGTCTCTGTTTCTAGATGATGGTAGCACATATCAACTACCTTTCTAGACTTGCACACAGAGAATTTTGGAAATGCTTTAAAAAAAAAAAAAACTTTATAGACATCTGTAATTATATAGATTTTTACCTAAATATGATACCCTTCTTTAAAAATACACCCCAAAGATGAAAGGTTACAAATCCATCCCAGCATAATCCAATGTTTTTACACTTTATAATATTAAAATGTAAATTGGAAAAAAAAAAAATCAGATGACTTTTGAATTCATCCCCTAGTCACTCACCTGGCTGCTTCAATTTGATCTTCAACTTCAAATGTTCCCAGTCTTCTGTTTATTGCGTGCATGATCCTATCTCCTTGGTAACCACTTCCTCTGCCATCAAAGCTAGCTACTATAATCTTTTCTGTACTTGCAAGGTAAGTAGCCCAGTTGAGTCGGAAGGCAGAGTCTACTTTTTGACTACAGGGACCTGCATAGCTGTGAAAGATTCCAAGTTGTTAGTTTTTGTAGTTTTCCATCAGATAAAGACTACTTGCATTTCTCTTCCCTGTGGACAAGAAGTGTACATCTTTCCTGATCATGAGCCTGAAATTGTGCCAGCCACCAGGGTGTCCAGAATGGATCCTCTAAAACTTAGCAACTGTCTAAGTTATCTTCTGCTGCTATAACAGAAATACCGTAAGGGGAGAGCTTTAACGCAGAGAAATTTATTTTCTCACAGTCTAGGGGCTAGAAGTCTGAATTCAGGGTGGCAGCCATAGGAGAAGGCATTCTCTCTGTGTCAGCTGTGGAGGAAGATCTTTGCCTCTTCTGAGCTTCTGCTCCTGGGTTATCTTCATGTGGCACACCTTCTCTCTTTCCCCATTTCTGTTTCTTTCCCTTCCTTGTTTAAGTTTTTGTATCTCAGAAGTGATTGATTAAAACACACTAGACACTAATCCTGCATCATTAACGTAACAAAGCAACACGTTCCCAAATGTGATTATAACCACAGACATATAGAGGTTAGGATTTACAACACATATTTTTGGGGGACACGATTTAATCCATAATAACAACACAACTCTCATGATTGTATTTCCTTCAAAGTTGCTGATCAGTTTTATCTTTGAAGATTGTTATCAAATACAAACTCAATAGGCTGACATTTTTTAAGAAATATGTATCTTGGAAACCAAAGAAGTGATTACTCTAATTGTGAGGGGGAGCTGTATAGTGAAATAATCATCGTGATACTAATAATGCTGATGACAATAAATGCAGCCTTGAACATAACTTTATGTCTCAGTTTAAAAACACTTCTAGACTGCAAGTTTATTTCCTAGGTTGTAACTTCCTGGGGGCTCTGACTTTTGTATCATGGGTTTCCCATTCCCACCATGCCCAGCACAGTGTTACACACACTAAGACTCTATAAATCATCATGGAATGGACCAAAATATGAATGAATTCTATTTCTTAAAACTTAAAGGAGAAAGAAATAGATTATATTGGAAATAGGTATGCTGTTCTATTTATTAACATGTCTAACACCCTTGTGCTGCAGTCTTCACAGGCTACTATCCCCTGCACACATAGTCATGTGCACCATCTCCTTCGAGCCCTCTCATTGTTCTGTTTGTTAATCAAAAGTGGCTCCCTATACCTCATTGCATCTTATTTCAATGTGTCACCATTGAACCATCTACAGGACTCCTGGCTCCAGATCTTCTCCAGTAACTATTCCTTCTTTAACCCATCTCTCCTACTTATCTGCTCGCTATCTTCCCCACAGGATTGGACAGTTTCCTCCTCCATGTTTTTGCTAATACTTTCCTTTAGCAATAGCAGTCAAAAAAAATAATTTTAAACAAAATATATTTAAGAAATTTTATTTAGTATTTTAATTTTAAATTAAATATCATAACATTCTAATGTTAAAAATTAAAATGCATTCATGTATTTCTTGGGCAAGCAAACATTTGTTGACAACATGCAAAATGCCTTGGCTCTGTCAATGACATTAAAGTTGGAGGAGAATAACAGCTTGCCTTAATATTAGGTCTGTCTCAAATTACCTAACCTCTCAAATTAAATAAAATTACTTTAAAAAAGATTAAGACCTCTAAGCAGAGGAGGAGCAACAACAACAACAAAAAGAGTAGCTGCTGAGTCTGTTTATGTATAACCGAATACCTCAGGGGATTGGGTTCCTTAGTTTGGAGGGTTGTTGTTATTGTTATGTGCCGGTGAGTCGGACCCCACTCATAGCGACCCCTCCTTGGGTTTCTGAGGCAGTATCACTACGGAAGTAGATTGCTCAACCTTCCTTCCAAGGAGTGGCTGGTGGGTTTGATCCCCAGCCTTCTGGTTAGCAGTCAAGTGCCTTAGGAATTATGCCACCAGAGCTCCTGTTTGGAGGGTGAGGGTCATTGTTTCATCGTGTTGGGTAATAACATATTTGGTGCTTCTGTTCTACCTCTTAGTTCGTTACATAGTGCCTGGGGTCTTAAATGCTTGGAATGACCATCCATGGCACAACAATTGGTCTCTATTCACCTGGTACAACAGAAGAAGAATGAGAATCAGAGGAGGAGAATATGGAACATGTGACTAAATTTCCCCATGAACATCTGTGCCCTTTGTTATGAGACCAGAAGGACTGGATAGTGCCTAGCTACTACTATTGAATATTTTGATCAAAAGAGGGGAGATGCAGAACAGAATTTCAAATTATCATGGACTCCACACTTGCAGGAGCCATGGGGCTGGATGAACTTCTGAAACTACTGCCCTGAGATAATCTTTAAAACTTAACCAAAAATATCCCCTGAAGTCTTCTTAAAAACAAACAATAGTTTGGCGTAACTAGTGAAAAAGGTCTGCCTTGAACATTATGCTCTTTTAAAACTATCTATATGTTCCAGCAGATCTTTTTTTTAATTTGGGAGTCAGGGAGTGGGAGGAATGCATAAAACTGTTCAATTTTTCTTGCTTGCCCAAGGGCAAAGCAAAGGGATATTTTTAGTGTTTGCTTCTTGATAAAATAATTAAATTTAAAGTATTTTCCCCTTCAAATTTATATCATTGTTTTAATAGAATTATTTCTGTCCCTTCTCTTCCTGGTGTCTGAAAGTTTTGTGGAATGAATTGTTATGCTAACTTGCTATAAAAGACATGTGACCTAGTACACAGAACACGTGGTGTGCTGGTGGTAATGCTAAAAACAGTAGCAGTTTATTTTTTGGTTTTGATTATTTCTTGGACCATAACAGTAGTTCTTTTAGCCCTCCTGAAAGTGCTATGGTACAAAAAGGCACAGAACTTGGGGAAATATCTAAAGGAGTACCTTAGATGTAAAGTAGTATTGGTTTCTATGTACTGCTACTCGGAAGGAAGATGGGGCAATCTACTTCCATAGTGATACTGCCTTGGAAACCCAAGGAGGGGTCGCTATGAGTCAGGTCCAACTCAACAGCACATACAACAACAACAACAATATGGTATCAAGGTGGCGACAGCAACTGAAAAGATTAGATAAGAAACTTAAGGGACAATAATCATGTTAATGGGGAAGGAACAACCCAGAAGAGGAGGGTAAGAATGGTTGCACCACTTGAAGAATGTAATCAATGTCCGTGATTGTACATGAAGATATGGTTGAATCAGTGTATGTTTTGTTGTGTACATTCTTAACAGCAAAATAAAATTTAGAAAAGAAAGAAAGCAGGAGAAGGAAAACAACTGAACAGAAATGAGCACTAACTTTACTGTGTTTTCTTACTCTCCTCATGAAGAGGAGGTGAATAATTCCTTAGTGGAGAGTTAAAGGAGACAAAATTTAACTCTTTTCTTAAGAATTCATTTTTCAATACTGGGGCTAAAGCCTAAAGGAAATTAGTGTCACTATAGTCAATATCAGGTTGGGCAATCTACTTCTGTAGTGATACTGCCTCAGAAACCCAAGAAGGGGTTGCTATAAGTCAGATCCTACTCAACAGCAGTGAGTTTGGTTTTGGTTTTTTATAGTCAATATCAGGTTGTTGTCTTAATGAAAATCAAATAGCCCATCAGAATGTTGAAAATACCCATCTTTACCTTTCTTTGAGCTTTTACGTTCAGCTTTCATGGGAGAATGCTTGCAGTGAAGCAAGGGGATGTGTGACACTAATATCTGTGCCTTCTCTTTTGCAAGTAATAACAGAAAAGAGATGACTCTGAGCTTCGGCTTTCTCTTCTATATAACATGCTTAATAAAGCTCATCACCTGAGTTTGTTATGTGAATGAAATAAGACAATTCTGCCAAGCACCTGGCACAGGGCAATCGCTCAGAATGCTTGTTAGTCTTGTTTTCTTTAATAAAGGAAATGAAACAAGCTAGGACAAGAAAAGTGGCATTGTGGCATTATGGATGAGACCAGGACAATATTTAAAGGATTAAATTAAAATGTATTCTTAATAGTTATTAAAAATATTTTACAAAGTTGCTATATTTTAAAGTTCACATGAGTTCTCATTAGCTGTTTCAAAGACTGTGATTTCAGAACTTTCCAGAACATCACCAAAAAGAGGAATGGAAAATACCAACCAGTGGTACTTAAGGAACTAAAAGAAGGAAAGCGAGGGTTAATGGGTCAAAGCAACCAATGGGAAATATTTTGGCAAGAATGGGAAGTAAGGAAATTGGGAACAGTGTTAATACTCATTGTTTGCTTGTGAAATGTCCAGGACTTAAGAATTTCTTTGGCAACTCCCTTAAGAATTCAAGAAAACAAAACAAAATCTATGTCATAATGACAGAAGAGGCGTGTCTACCTTCTTACTAGGACATGGAAGAAAACACAGGTTGGGGTTTTGAGAGTAAAATGCACGAAGGAAATAGTAAAACTGCTTTACAATGATTCAAGAAAGATGCATTTTTGACTCTATTTTTCAGTAAGCTGCACTGGGCAAAAAAATATATGATTGTTAACTTCTAAATTGCTCCTTTCTCTTGAATACTTACACATCTAAAAGTAGAGGATATTTCTTGGAGTTATCAAAATGGGGAGGCAAGATCATCTGATACCAGAATTCTAAACAAACAGAAAGATTAATTAGTAGAGTTAAGAACAATTATTAGCAGAAGGTTTTCCTCCATATCTCTGTCACTGATAAGTCATATCTAGAGTTTAACAATGTACTCAATAAGAATAGGAAAAGGAAATGAACTGTTTGGATCCAGCATGCTTTTAAGATATAAAAACATTTTCTTCCACATTAAAATACTACTTAATATTTAAACAATAAAGTCCCTCCTAATGTCTCTAATGTTTCTATCAAATACACTGATGCCTTACAAAATAAAAGTGCATCTTAGAATTTCTAATGTTTTGTTTTTATGATTCTGTTCTTTGGCATCTGATTTAGTTATCTAGTTTGTTTATGGCTTATGTTCTAAGTTTTCCTCCAAAATGTTTTCCTCTTCTTGAATTTCCTTGAAGCTGTTTAGGATTTTTAGTTGGCCCCAACTCTATTTAAAATTCTGATTTAATAATATTCTTGTTATTCTATTGCCGTCCCAGACCGAAAAGCCGAGCTACCATTTCAGCTCTGTGTTTCACAGGATGAAATCAGGTTTACGTGGAATAAACTCTTGCAAATATTCTGTATGATCTTCTGCAGATCCACTTAATTCTCTGTGCTTGGTTATGACATCAGTTAAATAAAATTTGTTCCTAAATAATGAATCGTATTTTTTTCCTCCAAAATTCAGAGGTCAATTTAAAGTAATTAATCTTGTACTCCTTTTTGAAAAATGAGAGTTATAACATATTTTATTAAAATTACCTGTAAGAAAAAAAAAATCCTGATTTCTAGAGCTGTTTCTTCCATACTTCTATCTCCTTTTTGTTTTATTCCAGTTGAGGAGAAAAGAAAGGTTTGGGAGTAGATCTTTATACAGCTAGAATGCTCTTCAGTTTGTCTTTTGTGGATTATTTTAATACTTTCTGATTAAATGTGCTTGATTGCCATCAATTCTGACTCTAAAAATACTAAAAATTTAAGTCTCCATTATAATTTCAATAGAAATTATCAGTTGATAATTTCTATCAGTTGATGGAACTGGAAACTATCAGGTGATCATGAATATTTTCAATGAGTATGGGAACCTCACAATTTGATTTCTGCTTTTTTTTTTTGAATCAGCACTAGTTGATTAGAAAATGTTTTTAGTTCTATGTTACTGAAGATGCACAGTCTCTTCTGTGCATAGAAATAGGAATAGGAAAATAGGGTTATTTTCCTATTCTCACAGTCCTTCCTCTTACTCTTTCTCCCCCTCCTTCTCTTCCGGGCTCTTTTCCTGTTGTTTGAAAGAGTATATCCACCTGCCAAGTGGACCTTCATCCCCTGGCAGCCCCATCCTACAATTCCTACCAGGTTATCTATGTAATCATAGTGCTTCCCTGACCCTAAAGTCTTCAGGATCTCCCTACTGTGTACCAACTAAAATATAGAATGTCACATCTCAGCTTTCAACACTGCCAACACCAGACTGTCCATGGAGCTCTCCCAAAACTCTAAGCTTTCGCCATTGCAGTGTGGGTCAAGGGCCAGCAGCACTGGCACCAAATGGGTGCTCATTACAATCCAGACTCCTGGGCCTGCTCTGATCTGCGGGATCAGAATGTGCATGTTACTTAGGTCCCAGGTGACTCATATGCACATTCAATCCTAAACTGTTCTTGAGAGGTACAATGCAGGTGTTTTTCCCATCATTTAATATTAGGTCAGTTAAATATTTTATATTTTTGTCTTAAATTTAAAAGTGAAATAAATCTATGCTATTTTTTAATATATTGATTTCTGACAGATTTTCCACCCATAAGTTGTTACAGATGGAGAAGAAAGACAAAAAACAAATAAGGTTTCTTACTCAAAGAAATTCATTGTTTTCAGAGGTCACTGAGTATAACCCATTATTAGGTTATGAGGCCAGGAGCAGGCTAATTATAGGGAAGGTGTTTTAGAAGAAATTCAAGATTTCTCTCCTGAGACTGAAGTTTCCATATTTTATAGCTGACCCTAATTTTTTAATACAATCATCTCACATATTTTCAATCTCTTTGGGTTAAAGGTAAAATACATTAGGATATCATTATGTTAAAATCCAATTAATATTTAATAATAATATGATGCAACTGTACTAGCAATAGTGCATTTTCTCCAAATACCTTTTATTTTCTTGACAGAACTAATTTTATATAGAATTTCATTCTATTTTAGGATAAAAGAATGTAAAATTAATAGTTCTTGTCACAGAATATTTCATGCAAACTTTCTAACTTAGGTTTCTATGTAATATAAAAAGGTAAATTTTCAGAGGAAATGATCATATTTAGTTCTATTGGTGTTTGCAAGAGAAATACTATTCTGGGGATATGTTAAATTCCATTTAACTTACTTGTTCCACCCAAATCAATGGAGTCCAGTTTTTTTGAGGGCATCTGAACATCCTGAAGCATTTTATCCAAAGCTGAGTTGTCTTCCAGTACTCTCAGTTCTATTTAAATACAGGAGACAGGAAAAAGTTGTTGCAATGTGAAGAATTGATATTTATACAATGCAATAATGAACAAATAAATATATGTGTCGCTGACCAGACTATCCATACTTTGGGTCACAAGCCCTGCATTCAAGTCTTTGTTATGAGACTCAAAGGTCAAAGGAAATCACACTGTGCTAATCCCTGCTGGTCCTATTCACACATGTTCCTAAAAGCAATTGAAGGTGAAATACAATAAAATACCTTTATCAGTCCTGCTGCTATGCAGAGTATAGAGGGGCAGACCAGGGCCTGTTAATATAATATAAGATGTTAATATAATCAGGAAAAAAAATGAGTATTAAAAAAAAAAGAAAAAAAGCATACATTACTTCTCACAAATATCATTTGTTACCATTAACTTTGACAGAATACATCATAATATCATAGTGGTTAAGGAGCTCAATAAATGTTGTCTGTTATAATTTTTGTAATATTTTGTCCCCCTTTCCTTAAAATAACTGCAATTTGAGTTTAAGACGTATTACTGGAAAGTTACAGGGCACAGCAGAATGAAGCAGGAAAGGAGCCTTTGGACATATGATTGGCTCTGTGCCTGATTACTTCATCTGTGACCTGAGCATTTGAGACACCTGTGTGCCCATCCTTCCCTGCACTACGTTGGTGCCACGATGGTCACCTGTCTCTCAGGCCCTGCTTCCTCAGGCTAGAGCACTGTACCCTCCTCATTTGAGGAGAGGGTGGGTTTCCCTCCTGATGCCTTCAGAGCTCACATCTGCACAGTGCCTGACTTGGATAAGCGATTCCTTTCTGGCATGAAAAAGTGTTTTTCTCACAAGCACATATCTTCACTATTTATCCCAACTCTGATAGTTGCAGTGATGAAGGTAATGTGTAGAAAAGCTATTTTGTTAGCTATTTGATTTTGATATATTAGGATGCTAATATTTCTTTTCACTCTTTATCAGAACCACAGTAAATGTAGGCCACAGATCTGGTTTTGAATCCTAATACTTGTGTGTGACTTAGGACAACATTATCTAAGCTTCAATTTCCTCATATGTAAAATGAGGCTAATAATATCTATTTTACAGAGTTTTTAAAGGATTAAATAATAGAAGGAATACAAAGCTGTCAGCACACACACAAAGGTACATAGTATAAAGTACATGCCCATAAATGATAATTAAAAATAGTCATAGTAAAGGGTCACAAAGGAAAATGTAATAGTAAAAAGAACATGATAGTGGAGAAGAATTCAGATGAACTGGTTTGGAGCTCCTTTTTGGCGATTGACAGTTCTTTTCAGAATATCCAGATTCTTTCTCCCATTTTGAAAACTCTTCTGGCACAATGGTTAAAGAGAGGGCTCTTTAATCATTGTGCAGAGACCAGTGTCTGAATCCTGCTGTGCCTCTTACTAGCTGTGTGAGTATCTCTCTTTGTCCAAGTTTTTCATTTATGACAGAGAAATCAAGTAATAACAATAGCCACAGAAAATAGAGCAGTGATTGTGATTGGTGACAGGCACCACCCACCTATATTTTCTTATTTAAACCTGCAAGTGTATAAAGTAACAACCAAGAGATACACAATGTGTGCATATATAAGGATGAAGTATCTCTGTTATACATAAGCTCTGGAGTCTGTGTGTTTTCAGTCTAATGCCAGCCATGCAATTATCTTGGTTAGAATGTGCAAGAGAGGTGGTTAAACTCATAGGCATGAGTTAAGAGAAGGGGACAGGTGCAATTTCAAATTCAAAAGGAAAAGAATTAGGCAAGGCAGAAAGTATGTTTCCCAAGCTGGAGATGAGAAGGAAATCTCATGGATGGGGAGACTGGAGAGAAGGTCGCCCAGAGAGAGAAGGAGGCATCATCTGGTGAGTGCAAGTGTTCACGGTGAGAGGAAGGGAGAAGGTGACTTCAGATAGACATTGTGAGTCACAGCTGCAAATGCCCACCCTCCCAGTCAGTTCAGACTTACCCGAACATCTCAGTTGATAATACTTTGCCTCTTTACTAAATGATACAGAATAGTATTGACACCTTGTTGGGTACAGGTCACAAGTAAGGCATTTCACTTTTGTGACATCACTCAGTTGGATTCTGTAAAACCAATAGTAGAAATTAAGAGCTTGATGAAAGTGTAAATGACAGGAAGGAATTGAACAATGCCATATTACAGTTTCAAATTTCAGAATGCCAAAGCAATCCTCAAGAACCTTTTGCTTTTCAGTGTGAAAGAAATACATAATTAATTTGTAATGACTTTAAATGTGCCATTGTTTGACAATATCACAAAACACCTATTAAGTCATTCTCTTCTTTGGTGACATGTAGACTGATTTATAAAGGAATAAAAGCATTTGAGAGGAATTCCAGTTTAATACTAGTTAGGACAAGGCAATAAGAGCCCAGAAATTGTTCATCAGATAAAAAGACTCAAGTCAACAACTTAATAGAGCTCTTACTTATACAGATTTCTTCCTCCTGGCATTCCTTTATGTTCATTACTAATGTAATATCTGAGAAGGAAACAAATAAAATATATGTTACATTTTTAAAAAAGTCAAATGCATTCCATGTAACTCAAACATCAAGCATTAGCACACATACAAGGCACTTGCCTTTCATTTATCCTTGGATTTCCACCCCTCCCCTGATACCCACTTCCTAAGACACTTTTCTCCATTGTCTCTACACAAGAGATTCTTTTTCTTGAAAGACTAAAATATATGAACACAAGAATTTCCCTCTTAATGAAAGTGACAAATAAAAATCCAAACATAGTCTTTTGTATGCAAAATATGACTAGACAACTAACTTGAAAATGAGACCCCTTTTCCCACGCTATTTTCTCCATTTCTGTTCCATACTACATACTCCTAGAGGGCAGGAAACTGCTCTGCCTGGCAGTGGCAGTGCCACATCTAAAGAGGGCCTTTAAGAACTATTTTGTACAGTGGCAAAATTCTTCTGTAGTGAAATCAATAAAAATATTAAAGTGTCTCCAATTCTAATGAAAAATAACATTCATTTCTTCACTAACTAATAGAGTTGAAAGCCTCTGCAAAGATTTCCACTCTCCAAAAGGCAAGGCTGAGACATGGACAGGCAAAATAGCCTTCCCAAGACTTCTAACAATTCAGTGTCAGCTGAACTCTAAAACAATACCCCTGAATGCTAGTTCTGTGCTCCACATTCAAGGAAAAGAAGCTACAGCTCTTGTAATATAAAGCAGGTAAGAGCAAGAGGTAGAGCTGCTTGTGGCATGGTATCAAGTCTGCAAAGCATATGTGAAAATCATTAAGGCTTCCGTATGTTAAAGAGAAAAAAGTACTGAACACATTCCAAATAGACTACTGTTTATTTGTGGAAGATTTTTCTCTGCTTCTGGGCAAAGAGGGCACGATTACAACAAGAAGATTTATACCCATCAATTATTCCAATACTCACAGGTATTCATCGGTAAGAGCTTCAATTCCTATGACTTCCCAGGCTCCTTTTGTAATAAATGTGCAGGCCTGGCAGGGTTTTTACAAAAGAAATGTATTAGATTCGCTCTCTAATCAAAGTTAAGTGCAAAAATAAATCATTTATTTCAGGAATTCAGATGACCTTGGGCTTTCTTGTTGGGTCTCTTTACCCTATCCCACCCTACCGTGTATGCCTTTGAGGAATTTGAATTAGCCTGATTATTTGTGCACATTGATCAAATTTACCAAATGATTTCCACTTCAAGTTAGTTTCAGAAAAAGAAAATCAATCTGACCTAAATTATGTAAAATACTTACTTCATTATCTATTTTGAAATGACAAATGTGTTTGTAGCCTTCTCCATTACTGATAATCTTGTAGAAGGTAGTACGATTAGATGTGAAGTGAGGTTCTGAAGGCCTAAACTAGAACATGATGGAAAACCAAAAACACATTCAATCAAATTAGTCTCATCTCAGTAGTAACTTTAGTTAGAAAGTCCTTCCCAACACCTCCGCTCAAAACCCAGGGCTTTGAGCCAGTTCATTCTGTTCTGATCACCTGCTGAGAGCTTTTGTGTCCCCCCCCCCCCGCCCCCCATACAATGAACCAGAATCACCTGGAGATTTTGTTAAAATGTAGATTCTGATTCAGTGTATCTGGGGGGAAAATGCAAATTCTCAGCATGGGGTCAAACCGGACTGAACTGCTTCAGAGCCTTGTCAAAAATTCATGCTTCATTTACTTGCCAAAATTGTTTCAAAAGAATATTCTCCTTCTATAAAAGAGGGACAGAGAAACCTAACTCATAGGACTTTTTTGCGAGGAGTAAACCAGAGAATGCAGGTAAAGTGACTTCCATAGGACCCTCAAAAATCGGAATGACTACTGTTATTCCTGGACATTTTCTCTTTATGGAGGATAACTTCATGAAGTGGTATGTAACTTCATGGTAAGTGCTCAAAAATATCATTAGCTTTTCAGTTTCAAGAAGTGAATTCCCTCAGTGTCACAATGCACTTTACAGAAACACACTTCCATCATTTTTTGACAATTTCAGATTGGAGGTAGTCGTAATTTTTTGACGGAGGGAGTAATTTTTTTTCCTGTTCTTTAAATGTATTTCTTTTTGAAAGTGAAGCTTAATAAGTCTTTAGCCATTTCTGGACAAAATTCCATGAAGAACGTCTGTCATATATTTCAAATGGAAGCATTCACATAACTAGCGTTTTTATTATGTCTTACCACTTTGTTAAATATGCTCCAGAGTGCTTAATAATAATAATAATAATAATTATATAGAAATACAGAACAAAATTTCCACCTTTTACAGTTAAATAGGAGAGAGTGCTCAGAGTATTCTGTTATTTAAGCAGGATAGTGCCTTCCCAGCCTGAAAGGAATATGTCGCTTTATGATTTCGACTTCCTTGCTACATTTGAGAGCAGGTAGGAGGAGATGGTCTTTTAAAATTGTTGGTTCACTTCACCCTCAATGTTTCCTCTCTCATCAAGCTCCCATTTTGGGAAGGAAGAAAAATGCTTCTTCTTCTATTTAGTGATTCAAAGCGAATTCATTTATGGAGCAAGCTGAGGCGTGCGGTACACTTGGTGTTCTCATTACAGAGCTCTGAAACACATTCCCCTCTCTAGACCTGTGTTCACAGCCTTATCTTTTTAATACATTTCCCTGTTTCCCCTGGATGGAGTTGTGCCTAGTAGAAATGTGTGAAAAGTGGCATCTGTCTGGTTAAATACAGAGAGGAAAAAACATATTTTTTTTCAGAGAGTCGTGAGGAAGTGTAGCGTGTCTCTTGCCATGGAGGAAACCACTTTTCATGTTGGCAAACCTCTCCCCTCTGCCCAATCAATGCCTAAAGAAAAAGGACGTGTAAATGTTATCAGAGCTCCAAGCCCAGCTGGAAGAGGTTGTGTTCCTAGACCAGGGGGTCTTAGTTCTATGACTTAAGCAATGTATACATCTCAGTATTCCTTTGTACCACTTTTTCCCCTCTTAAAGGAAGCATAATAGAAATGATCATAAGAATTAGGTGAGACTTATTCTTTATCTTTCACCCAATGTGCCATGATGGCTGGCGTTCCTTCATTGCATTCGCTTCATTCCATGGTCTTGGAGTAACATGGTTTTTCTGCCCTATGTGTAACACAGTGTGAGGGAAAAGCATGAGAAATCTCTGAGGGTCACTGCACTTTCTTGGACAAAGTTCTGCGTTACCATCTGGGTGCCTAGTAAAGTGTGAACCCAAATGGGTATGATTTTCTCTAAAGATAATTGCATAGCCAGTGTTGTGTGTATGCCACTGAAATTCTGGTGGATGTAACCACATCTCCTCAGGCATTTGTGCGGGCTGTGGATTGAAATCATGTTTTCTGTCTCTAAAGCACATAACTTCAAATATAAGGTCAAGGAGCACATTCAGAGTCTTGGATGACTCTCAGCAAATGGTTGCTTTTTAACTTACTGAGGACTACAATTTGCCTAGATTTTGTTTTACTTGTTCTTTTAATTGATCATTTATCCCCCATTCATGTTTTCCAACTAAATATGTTATATGTTGTTTTTGTTGTTCTTGTTGTTGTTATGTGCCGTCGAGTCAGACCCGACTCATAGAGACCCCTCCTTGGGTGTCTGAGGCAGTATCACTACGGAATTACATTGCCCCATCTTCCTTCTGAGGAGTGGCTGGTGGGTTTGAACCACAGTCAAGTGCCTTAGGCACTATGCTAATAGAGCTCCCAAATATGTTATATATTCCCCATAAAAAGGTAACCTTGAAATAGTTTGAGAAATAAATAGGTCAATTAATATTTCCATTAACAGCCAGTAACATAGGGGCTTAGTTGTGACCATCTATATAGTAAATAGCTCTGAGTATCTAACTTATACTACATAAAATCCGTAACTTTAAATACTTACTCTTCCAACCCAGCCAGAAGTACTTGTTTCAATATGCTGCCGTGTCTAGGGAGGGAAAAATACATGACAGTGTTTCAAAGAGAAGTGAGATGATGAACTCTACTCTTTAGAACAATTTGTGGTAATATAAATAAAAACGTACTTATAACAAAAGAACAGAACACTATCTCCATTCATCTATTTTATTTATGTTAATATATGTATTTAAGTACATTAGATCATTTGCATCTCTCACCTAGAGCTGTCCTGAGTCCAGGCCCATACTCTGCCCTGGAAGATCCACTGGCACTTTATCCACTAAAATAACTGCACTCTCTTTCTTCCACCCCCGCCAGCCTGTTCTTCCTCCTTCATTCGTGTCCTAGTTAATGGCTCTCATTCACCCAAGCTAGAACCTCAGGACCCATTCTAGATTCTTACTCTTCTCACAGTCATCTTTCACCACTGTTGTCTACCTCCTTGACTTCTCTCTTTCTTTTCTACTGCTACTGCCTTAGTTCACATCCCCTGAGGTCTCCCTTGGCCCACTGCCATATTCTCCTCATTGCAGACTCTGCTGTTATTCTCTCCTTCCAGTCTGCTCCCTGGCCCTGCACAGCCCCCAGCTGACCCCAAGTTGGCAACTGATAGAGCATTTTAAAAAAGCAAATCTCATTATAATGTTCTACTGTCTGAAACTTTGAAAAGTTCATTGCTTCTTACAAGATAAGTTCAAACTTCTCAGAATGGCACTCAAGTGAGACTTGGTGCCTGTATGTCAAAGTGAGCCTGTGTGTCAAAGCTCATTCTCTCTCCGCTCAACCCCTAGTCATGTGTACCCAAAGTCCCTGCAAGCTCTAAGCTATTTTCCGCCACCTTGCCTTTGCACCGCCATCTGCTTCTATGGTCTTCTTGCCCTTGTCTGCTCAGCATGGTGCAACTTATCCAGACGGCTCCATATCTCTCCCATGTCACCTCCCTTCTCCACTCCACATGCCCCTAATAGAGTGAATCATCTTTTTCTCTACATTATCTCTGTATCTTGCAAATACCTTCTTTTAGCATAATACTCTGATATTCCAATGATTTAATTGGCAGGAAGCAAAGAGCTTGGATTTTTTGGTTTGAATTCTGGCTGTCTCACATTACCTGAGCAAGCCACTTAACCTCATTGCCTATCTCCACTGAATCTAGCATGTTGTAAGTGCTCAATAAATGGCAACTATTATTATTATTTATTTTCTTAAAGGTATTCTCTACTAGAACATAAACATTTTGTAGACAGGCATGCTGACTCATTTATATATATACATACATACACACACACACACACACACACTTTTTTAAAATACATATTCAGAACTCTACCACCTCCAAAACCCAGGAGGGGTTGCTATGAGTTGGGCTGACTCGACTCAATGGCACACAACAACAACAACATTCAGAACTCAGCACAGAGCTTAGAACATGATATCCATTAACATTGGGTCAATTCTGACTCATAGCAGCCCTACAGGACACAGTAAAACTGTCCCATAGGGTTTCCAAAGCTATTTCCACCAAGGCTCTTTGGAACATAATAGACATTCAATAATAATAGGCATAATAAATAAATGAATGAATGAATCAAGTTTTGGGGTGCAAGATTTTCTGAGGTGTCCAACCAGAAGGTGAGTGGAGAGGCAAGGTGTATAGGCAAAGGGCCCATTACCAGGAAAGGCAGCTTGCAGAGGTGTCCTTGGGATGTGCAACCTTCTATAAGATTCCACCTCTCTTGAACCAGCTGAGAATCCAAGACAAACCAATAGACTCCCTAAGGGTCTTTAATCCTGCTCTACCAGCCTGACTGGACCACCTAGTCTCTTGGCCAGAAACCCCCAGCACATCAAGTTTGGATTAACACTTGAGTTTCCTTCAATATTGACATCATCTAAAACCAGACTGGTGGTTTAGAACAATTTAAGTTCTAAAGTTGTTTCTCACTCTCACTGCCATTGAGTCCTTGGGTTTCTGAGGCAGTATCACTATGGAAGTAGATTGCCCCATCTTCCTTCTGAGGAGTGGTGAGTGGGTTTGAACCGCCAGCCTTCTGGTTAGCAGTTAAATGCCTTAGGCACTACACTACCAGAGCTCCCCTAAAGTTGTTTACTGCTTAAAAATAGTCACAGTACATTGATGATTTATAACCTAGTTGCCAGTCATTCCTCATCCCATGTTTTTTCTCTATGGAAACATTCTTCATTGACCTGCAGTCCCTAGTGCTCTTTGATGTTTTGAATTTTGATATCAGATTCCATCTTCTGGGTTTCTAATCACGCCCTTTCCCAGTGATAGCATCCATAACTAAAACAACAAGATTAATGAGTGAAAGTAAATAGAAGTGTAACCAGATAGCAGATTACCTGAAATTTAGTCATGACTTACTTCTACCTTGAGATCGCACCCAGAGTCACAAAGTCTCAAACCGTATTTCCCAATGCCCAACATTCATTCTCTCCCTGATCTCACAGAGCCCTCTGATCCCATGTAGTTTTAGAAGCAGAACATCCCCATTCAGTCTTACCACTAAGCATGTCCATCTTTCACTGGATTGATCATAGTCACAGATATCCATGATGGAATAGTTCTGAATCCTCCTGAGCCACTGCAAAGAAATTCTTTCTTGGTTTACCCAAGTCACATCACACAAGTAATGATCCCTGGGAGAAAGAAGAAAAGAAAGACAGGAAGGGACAAAGGAAGAGAAAAAGAGAGGAAGGAAGTGAAGGAGGGAGGAAGGAAGGAGAGAAGGAAAATAATTATTTCTAGACATTGGTACATGTCAAAATTTTACTCTACAACACTGAAATCAATGTTAATGGGAAGCACAATTATAAATAGTTATTGAAATCACTTAATACCATAATATTCACCTTTGCTTAAAGCTTAAAGTGAAGTTTAATTTTGAGTGGAAATTAAAATATATCTGACAGGACAAAACAGCAGCTAATATCCTATTTGTCACTCCAGTCATGCATTCAGGATTTATTAAGCCCTAAACTTGGCCTTTGATGTGCAAGGCAGCTGTTTTAAAGGAACAATGCAGTGAGGCCAAGGGCATTGACTAATATTTGAGTATTTTGTGGTAATTCAACGTGCTTCTCTAGGAAATTTTTCCTATTAGGATGAAACTACAGTTGACCTTTTTTCTCAACTTCATTCTCAAATGGGGAAAAAATTGACTCACACCTTCACAGACTTTGAAAAAGTAAGAATTATATTCTAAAAAAATAATTCTCAATCAAAACATGAATGATGCGAAGACGTTAAAGGAACCATGTGGTATTTTAACATAAATTTATACAAGTAGAGATAGCTCTAGCATTGCATCTTCCCCCAGCACATTTCTCTAAAAAAAAATTTGGGAACCACTTTGATTTAAAGCAAAATGCATGGAATTCATCATTTACTTTTTTACGTGCATCCTAACATTATTTGCTCTGGATAGCTTTTTTTTTTTTTTTTTTAATTGTGATTTGGGTGAAAGTTTACATAGCAAATTCACTTTCCATATAGCAGTTCACACACACTTTGTCTCAGGACATTGACTACAATTTACCTCAATACAACAGCTCCCCTCCCACTTCCTCCTGATAGTTAGTTACCTCTTCCCTGTGTCCATCCCTCCATGCACTCCTGCCCCCTGAACTGTCTCCCTGTGCATTAAACAGCCCTTCTTTCTCCCATGATTGTTCTCTCCAAGGCATGCATCTACCTCAGGTACATGTTCGACTCATATGCCTGTCTTTTGTTTGGCTGGAAGCCACAGGTGTGGGTTCAATTCCAGACCTGAAGGGCAACTAGGGGCCATAGTCTCAGTGGCTCCACCAGGCTCTATCAGACCAGCAAAACTGGTCCCCCCCCCCTTTTTTTTTTTTTTTTTTTTTTCCAAATGATTTTGAGTTTCATTCTACATTGTTCTCCCTCTTTATCCAGGATCTCCTACATAGATTCCCCCTCCGAGTGGTTGACAGTGGTAGCCGGACACCATCTAGTTCTTCTGGTCTCATAATTGTATAGGCTGCAGATCGCATGGTGTACCAGTCATGAGGAATAATTGTTTCCATGAATCTGGATAGCTTTTATGTTTTCCTCTTATGTGACTTTGAATGATTATTCTAAATCACTCCTCTCCAGTGTTTACTTAAAGCCTTCCTCCCTTTTGTCAGAAGATTCCAAAGGAAACTTCTGTCTCATATCTCCTTGTATCTTCCTCCCCAGTCTGGTCTTATGGCCATACTTCTCACACACACATACTCCAAACTCCAAAAGGCTTCTCTTGCTGTGCTATTTCCTTCACAACCTGTGCTCCATCTCTCCTCTTGTAATTTTGTGATTCCTGCTTGGCTGTAAGCTCTCTGAGGAAATGGTCCACATCTCTCTTATTCTCAGGGGTATCTCCAGGGTGAAGCAAAATGTCTCTCACAAGCAGAGACTCAGTCACCGTCTGTGGAATATAGTACTGAAGGAAGAAAAAATCCTTTCTTGACTTTTGTGTCCTAAATAGTTCTGTCCTTTCTCAGAATTCACAGACCTTTCTTGACTTTTGTGTCCCAAATAGCTCTGTCCTTCCTCAGAATTCACAGATCACTGTTTGTCTCCAGTTCCTTCACAGATACTAAATCATACAACAAATGTTTAAGACCTTGGGAGGAATTAGGCTCAGGACAAACCAGTTTGATTCCCCTCACAGCTTCACTACCCCATCTATAGCTGAGGGCACTGAATGGGTTGGGGGACTGGAGATCTTTGGGCCTCCATGCTGCCTACATGATGCCGATGCTGGAAGAAGATTATTTATTAAAAACCTATGAGTAGGTTTTTAAACCTATGAATAAGAAAGAGGACTGGAATGGAGATGAGCCCATATTTGTGGAAATGCTGTGCTTTGCCAGTACATGAATGGGATGTGACCTTCCTCCAGCATAGGCATCATGTAGAAGGGGCAGCATGGAGGCCCAAAGATCTCCAGTCCCCCAACCCATTCAGTACCCTCAGCTATAAATGAGGTAGTGAAGCTGTGAGGCTCAAACGGCCTCTGGTCATTTGAAAATGATGTTTTCTGGAGAATGCCCTCCTTCTGCACCATTATTACCAGTCTTTTGGTATTTATCACAAACTGTTGGGCTGCAGGGTCTGCACATGAAATGCCCTTTCATCTCATGTCTGGGAGCAAAGACACATTTGGCTCATCTAACTTTTCCTGCATTGAGCCTAATGCCAAGGGGTTAAAGAAGAAAATTCAAGGACAAATAAATCTTACCCAAGATAGACTTACAAGGGGAATGGACAAATAAAAAGCATGAGAGGCAATGAAACTTCTTGAAATTAATTTTCTAGACCAGAGATTGTCAGATGTTTTCAATAAAGGGCTATCCAGATAGTAAATATTTTACACAAGACACCCGTCTCCTGTCACAGGTATTCCAGGTCTGCTGTTAATAGTGCAAAAGCAGCCGCAGACAACACATCACCAATGAACAGCCCATGTACCATAATAGACTGAAAGTTGAATTCCATGTCATTTCACAGGTCATGAAATAATATCGTTCCTTTGATTTTGTTTGAACTATTTCCAGCTGAAGGGCAGAGAGTTTAACTAACTTACCTAAGATCGCACAGGAGGACCAGGGGCTCTGGTATGCTCAGCCCTTTCTACACCAATGGTTGCTATTTCTTAAGGTCAAAAACCCTTCGTGAATCTTATGAAAATTAAATTATGCACCTCTCTCTTGGAAAACAAATGCCTCCCATAGGCACATAATTTTCTAGAGTCCATGGACATAGGTCAGGAATCTGTGCTCCAGAAATGTCCTTCTCCTTTTTCAAAGGGCTCTGGTTAGGGGAGTGGAGAAGTGAGGAGGGAGAGAAAATTTTTTAACATGATTAAGTGGTCACCCAGTACTAAGTAGCTTTACCTGCTAAAACTCATTGTCATTGAGTCAATTCGTACTCATAGCAACTCTATAGGATAGAGTAGAACTGCTCCACAGGGTTCCCAAGGCTGTAAATCTTTAAGAAAGCCATTTGCTACATCTTTCTCCTGCAGAGGGGCTGGTGGGTTCAAACTGCTGACCTTTCCGTTAGCCGCTGAGCACTTAAGCACCGTGCCACCAGGGCTCCTTACTTTGTGTACTTCAAGTTCAGATACCTACAATACAAAAATAAATTTTCCCCATTTGAAAACATTGAGTAATGGAATTTGGGACGCCAGCCAGGAAACTCACATGCAGCAGGCATCTTCCCTGCCCACTTCTGGATCAAAAGTTAAAGACTCTGTATCTCTTCACTACCTTGGTCACTCTCCACAGCCCAGGGTGTACTCTGCACCCTGTATGTATCAGATAAGGGCAGGTTACCAATGGAACTGTCAGTAATCTATGAATGTTTTAAAATGTTTATACCCTTCTTCAGCTGCAGTTTCTCTTAAAGATTAAGAATTAATGAGGAGATAAAATGGGGGTGCGTAACCCAGCCCTGAGATGAATTAATGTCAAGCTGAGATGTTAATGACTCATGAAAAAGATATAAGGAAATCAATAGCTTGATTGTACATTTTACTTAGAGGTTTAACTCCCCACTTGAGACAAGAGAAACTCAACAAGCAGAATGATAAATATGTTTTGCACATCATGCCAATTTTATTCTGCAGAAAACAGGAGAGGCAAATATTGAGTAGACTTTTGTTATGTAATAGTTGGGGGAGAGGGAGACAGAGAAGGCAGATAATTGGACCTCCCTCGAGCCTGTCACCGATTATCTCAGGTTAGACATAGTGACTCAACCGGCTCTTCTAACTACTGGAACTGGACTAGATTAAATGTGATTTATTTTTGTACTAAAGCAATGGAGAAATTTCTGGACATAATTATAAGAATTCACACTTATATGGAGCCTTCTATGTGCCAGGAACTGTTCTAAATGCTTTACAAAAAGTTCACAACCACTGTATGTGGCAGGTACTGTTATAGGTCATGTTTTGCAAACTATGAAACTGAAGTGCAGAGAGTTTAAATAACTAGCCCAAAGTCTCACAACTGGTCAGTGGTGGAGCCAGGATTCAATCAAGCAGTTGTTTTCAGATATCATATTCTTGGTCACTATGTTGTACTCCCATAGTGGAACCTCCACCCATCCCTTTGTTAAACATTGTTGGCTAGCTTCATTCTCTTGCTTCATTTAAGCATAAAGTTCTTCACTCAATGAAATTTATTTATTCCTGGAGAGCTGTGTATATATTATGAAGCGAATCATATTTTAATTCACTGTGAGAGACTTGCTTTTGGAGAATCCCTTTGTAAAGTGACTTGCCTGTCTTATCACAATACTTTGGGTATATCAATTCCCCTAATTTGTATAAAGTTGTGTAAATATTTCTTTAGGTATATTAAAGATACTTAAAAGAGGTACACATTTACTAACGGAAAGAATATTAGAGAAAAATATGCTACTAAGAGCAATTGCAGACCCTGGAGTGATTAATTAATTCAGTGAATCACCCAAGGAAGTAGGCGTACTGCCAGTGCTGGCCGTGGGCTCTATGCCACCCTCTGCTCTGATCATCATGCCAACCCTCTGGGTCCCCTGACAGTTAGCTGAGGAGAGGAATGGTTAGGGTGAGATTCAGCATATCTGAAGGATGTAGCCCCCAAGCCTCTAA